AAGCTCTGTGGAGGCTTGGTGCATGTAGCTAAATGGTTAGGGCACTGGCCACACACACCCAGGCTGGCGGGTTCAAACCCATCCCAGGCCAGCTAAACAACAAGGACAACTGCAACAACAACAACAACAAAATAGCTGGGTGCTGCGGTGGGTCACTGTAGTCCCAGCTACTTGGGAGGCTGAGGCAAGAGAATTACTTAAGCCCAGGAGTTAGAGGTTGCTGTGAGCTGTGACGCCACAACACTCTACCGAGGGCAACAAAATGACACTCTGTCTCAAAAAAAAAGAGGCCGCATCCATAGCTCAGTGAGTAGGGCGCCAGCCACATACACTGTGGCTGGTGGGCTCAAACCTGACCTGGTCCAGCTAAAACAATAATGACCACTGCAACAACAACAACAAAAAAAAAGCTGGGTGTTGCGGTGGGCACCTGTAGTCCCAGCCACTTGGGAGGCAGAGGCAAAAGAATTGCTTAAGTGGGCGGCACCTATGGCTCAAAAGTGTAGGGTGCCAGCCCTATATGCCGGAGGTGGCGGGTTCGAACCCAGCCCCTGCCAAAAAATAAAAGAAAGAAAAGAATTACTTAAGCTCAAGAGTCTGAGGTTGCTGTGAGCTCTCTATGCAGGGTGACATAGTGAGACTCTGTCTCATAAAAAAAAGAAGAAGCAGCAGCTCTGCCAAAAAGCTCAGAGTCACCCGAACACCTCTCACTTCTCACATGCTCCTGCTCAGCAAATGCTCCTGACCCCCCTTCCAAGTGTGTCCAGAACCTGGCCACTTCCCCCATTTCCACCCTACAGACGTCCTCACCCACCAGGACTGTTACAGCAGCCTCTTGGCCGGCTAAGAGACAGGTCATTGTCCATCCTGGTACAGACACTGCAGAGGCTTCCCCTCTGGCTCAGAGTAAAAGCCAGAGGCCCCATGAACATCTAGGTGACCTGGTCCCTGTCACTCTCTGAAACTCCCTCTCCCTCCACTCACCTCTGTGACACTGGTGCCACCCCACATCAGGGACTTTGCCACACTCCTTCTGCCTGAAATGCTCTCCTGGAGGTGTCCCCCATGACTCACTCCTTTCTGCCTCTGGTCTTTACTCCCACACCATCTCATCAGGCCTCTCCACTTCTAGACCACCCCAGCTGTTTTTCCTCCTAAGCACAAGGCCCTCTGCATTTCTTACCATGTCAGATGACTTGTGCTGCCACTCTCTGCAAGACACCTCCATGAACACTTGTGCCACATCATTTTACCTCTGCTGCTGCAGGTCCCAAGACCACCACACTTTCAGATCTTCACTAGGACTTCCTGGAACAAGCAGTAACAGCAAAGACACAGCAGGGTCTGCTATGGTCTGGGGGGGTCTGTGCACAGGCATGTTCTCTCTTATTCCCCAGAGGCTGCCCCGAGCACGCCTGTGCAATGTGTCTGCTCTGGGAAGGAGAAAGTCAGGCCTGGTCACATAGATACCCTGTGTCCACCACAAGGTATCTTGCAGTGGGAGTAGGTCAGGCCTGGTCACGTAGATACCCTGTATCCACCACAACTACCAAGACTCCAGATCCCCAAAAGGAAAGCAAGTATTCATAAAGCCACACGGTTTGTACAAACAGCCACAGCAGGCTGGGACAGTGTGGAGAAGACCCCAAAAGTCAAGTTCCTGGAAGCCAGTCCAGGGCCAGCCCCATAATAGGCTGTCCCACTGGTCATGTGTACTGCACTTTGTGACACTGTGCATTGCCTGTCTCTCATCACCAAATGTGAGCCCCATGGACTGTTCCGTTTGTTTGCTGCTGTATCTCAGCCCCTAGCAGGCCTGACATGGAGTGGGTGCTCTATAAATATTTGTTGAGCAAATTAGTGGTGTCAAGAATGTTTCCATGGTGGAAACAGAGCTGGGACTTGGAGATTTTTCACACATCGGGGTGGGTTGCCTCAAGCCACCTGCACCTTGTGAGGGCCTCTCATGACCAGTGGCCCTGCTTTAGAAAATGGCAGAATTTACTTTTTTGCAACCAAGTCTTCCCTAATCAGGGACAAAACCTATGATGTTGGCTTTGTTAGTATAAAAATCTAATCAAGTCACTTCCCTGGCCTGCCTCCAACAGGCCCTGGCACAGATGCCTTTTTTCCTGTGGTTTTATAGAAACAACCCTGCTCCCCAGATCATCCAAGATTATTCCTGAAATGTTGTGACTTTCTGAAAACAAAATATCAAAATCCTGGCCTCCCAGACCTAAGACCCTGAATCCCTCTTCACAAGTCACACTGCCCCGGAGCCAAGGCTGGGGTCCCGCTCACCAGTCTGCTACGGGTGCATTGGGCCTGCCCCTTTAAGGAAGGCAGGACACTTCCAGGACTTGACCTTCACCCAAGCAATATCTCTAACTGCCACCAAATCATTAACCCCAAGAAGGGAGGAGGACTGTGTTCAGAAATCAACAGGGAACAGCCAGTACCTGATGCCTGGGAAAAGAGAGGTGTTGAGCAGCAGAGCCCAACCCAGAATTTCACATCTCCAGTCCCCACCCTGCCACAATGTGCAGAGCTTGAAACAAACACTGTGGCCCTATCCCGGCTTTTCTACCCAAAGACTCTGCCTCTCCAGCTTTCTCAGGACCCTCTTAACAATGGCGTCTCCATCTCCTTGGTCTCCACTGCATCCCTTCAAGTCCCCCTTTGTCCTGCCTCCAACAGCCCTGACCCAGGGCTCCCCATACCACTCACGCCCCAGACATTTTTCAGCTCTGCCTCCTCAGCACAGGGAGGCAGCCCTCCACTCCCCCATGAGCACACTCCTCTCAGCCTGGGGCTCTGCCCTACCTACCCCTGCCCAGAGCCCCAGGACTCTGTCCCCTTCCTCCCACACCTTCATGGGCCCAAAGACCCCACATGACTCTTATTGTGGCTCCTCGGGAGCAGCCCCTAGGGCACAGGACTCAGATTCAGGGGCGCAGGCCAGGCTCTCTGTGAGGCCCTTGAAGAAGGTGTGCTGGGCTGGGTGGTGATCCCAAAAGTTCACGTACTTCCCAGAACCTCAGAATGTGGCCTTATTTGGAAATAGTGTCATTGCACTGTGTACTGGAGTAGGGTGGGCCCTAAACTCAGGGACTGGTGTCCTTATAAGAAGAGACAGAGAGGCTCGGCGCCTGTGGCTCAAGTGGCTAAGGCGCCAGCCACATACATCTAAGG